CCTCCTGAGCTCCACGAAAGGCATGTCAGGGACCGGCCAAGGATGCAACCAGGCAGCTCTGGTTTCTTCCCTTTTCACTTTCTCTGGGACTCCTGGAATGTGTTTGAGCGTGGTGGAAAAAACGCAAGGAGCACGGAGGAGCAGCCAGGAACGTCACCCACCCCCTCACCCTCCCTGCTGGGGCTCGGCCAAGAGACGGGCAGGACCAGTGGCTCACACCAGCTCCCTGAGGAGCCCCTGATGCCTCTGGCAGGTGAAACGCCCAGAGAGGAGATGAATTTTTTTGAATGAAAAGTGGAAAATGTGTCATCTGCACAAACTCCTTGATGCAGGCTCGCAGCACAAGAGGCAGAGCCTGTTTTGATCAGAGAACGGGCCTGCGAGGGGGACAAAATATTTCACAAACTTTTGAACCTGTCTTTTCCTCCCCATTTTCATTAACGGGCATCTTTTATCCTGTCCTAAGCAACAGCAATGAGACTAATTAGCTTAACAAGCACAACAAATGGTTTGATTGACGAAAAAGAACCCTTTGAAATATACATTACATTCACAAAGGATTAAATTACACCCTATTATCTATTTTCCATAAAATAAAGATTACTTTGATAAATCACAACTAATGTTATCTTTGGCTGATAAGAACTCTGTGCTTATTTGTGTGGCTTCTATAAATAGTGTGTTCTGAATTTTTTTTTCCTCCCTAAATATAGTTGGTGATGGAGTCTGCCAGGCATTTTCCTGCCATTTGACAATACCACATCTGTGAACGAGGCAGCAAATGAAAGCTTCATTGTCTGAATATGAAACATGCAACAGCCTTTTTCTTTTCTGTCAGCTGCTCTGCAGTGCTCTGTAAAACACCTTTCTGCTGTATCTTGCTCCGTGAAGGTTTCCTTAGTGCTAAAGCAAGGTAGGGAAAATAAACCTTTTTTGTTGAGAAAAAAGCCTTTGAGGTTCATTTTTGCATTGTATGAAAAGCCTGAGTAGCATGAGGGGGTCATACCATCCTCTGGGCTTTAATGTAGATAAGCTCTGCACGTTAATGTACAGAAGATAAGGGAGGAGTGTGCATTTTTAGGTGTAAAGGGCTCCTTTCCACTTTGTCTTCCCACAGCTTTGCTCCAGAGGATTCTGCAGGTTACTTAAGATTTATTCGCATGGGCTTTGAGGGAATTCACCAAGGATGAAGGCAGAAACAATGTCTTGGGTTTACTTCAGCCCTGCACCAGTTCTGCATAAAGTGGCTCTCTCTTCAAAGATGGAGATAGCTGGGGCAGCAGAAGACCCTTCTAGGACAAGAGGTTCACCTGTCTCCTGAGCATTTGGTAACCACAGATCCCAGGCTAGTGTGAACAGCCCCAGTGGAGCACCAGAGCAAAGTGGGCAGCAAACCCCTGGTTTAGTACAGTACAGGAGCACATGCTCACCCTTGAAATGCCTTCAAAAAACTTTTGAAGAATAGTTTGATTCTGAGAAAATGAAGTTGGCTTCCTACTGTGTAGTGGCTGGCTGGAGAGATTTGTCCTTCGGGACAAATATCTAACTTTGAGTTACATGAATTTCCCATTTTTTGAAATTCTGTCACAAAACAAAGTGCCTCCGAGTTCAGCTGCTGCTTTGTGTGCCACTGGGTGACACAAAGCACCTCATTTTACTCTGAATTGCCCAAGGGTTAGAGCTGGTGTAGCAGATCCAGGACCGTGCTTAAGTTTTGCTTGCAAAGTGCTTCAGAAAGCACTCTGAGGAAAAGATGTGGAGGTTCTGGAAACCTCCAACAAGAAAATCCAACATGCAATGGGCTTCAGTTGTGTGACAGAACTTTTACTTCCACTGCCAATTTCTTCTAATCTGTATTTTGAAAATTCTTCAAACTATTCAAACCCAACACCAGTTGATGGCACCTAAGCCCACCATGGTTCTTTTGGGTGGGTGCCCTCATAATAAGCACATGGCTCTTCTGCCTTTCCCCTCAAAAAGCAGGTGGCAGTGGATTTCAAATAAACCCACACCCATGTCTGTGTTGCTTCTGGAGGGTGTGTTTTACCCCTGGAAATATGTCTAATCCCTTTGTTTGATTTTCAAAATTTGATAAGCTTCCCACCTCCTGGGTTGCCTGCAAAGTGACTCAGCAAGGCAAGCAGAGGGATCAAAGAACAGGTAGTTTTTTAATTGGATGGAAAAGCTTAGCAGTTCTGGAATATTTTCCTCCAACACATATTTCAAAAACTTTTAACAAAAATAATTACAGCTGAGCCTATTAACAGACAAAATGCAGGTCTGGAGTCATAAATCTCAGAGAATAGGGAGGAGCACTCTGAAATGCTGCAAAACAAATGTATTATCACCTTTCCAAACCTCCTGAAGCTTCTTTTTTCCTATAAGAGAAAACAAACAAAATCACTGTGGCTGGGCTGCTGTGTGCTTGCTATAATTAAAACAATTTTCATATTTTATTTCCATGGTGGTGTGTGTATTTATAAATAGGGAAGGAGGAAAGTGTACACATAGGATGGAACACAGAGGTGTTGTCCCAGTGCAGAGGAATCACTTTGGGTTCATCCAAACTCAGCTGGTTTGAGAAAAGCTTTCTGTTTGCTGGATACTCTGTAGGTGATAAAGTGCTGGGATCCTGACTGAGCTTCATGAATTGATGGATTAGAGGTCAAAGATAAGGTCCCTGTGTATCAAGTAGAGGAAGATCTAGACCTTGGGGTCCTCAGGAGAGTCCTCACACATATGCCACAGGACCAGACTTGTTTATTCTACCTCAGGCCTTCTTCATTTTGCATTGATTTATGCTGCTAAATGCAACAGGAGAAACAGAGCTGCCCCACCTCATGCCACACAACAGCCAAGGGTTTGGGTGCTCTCCAGGAAGGTGGGAGATGGAGATTCCAAACTCCTTTGGCCCAGAACCCAGCTCTCCCACTTCCCATGAACAGTGCCCCGTGCCTGAGACGACCCAAAAAGAGGCTTTTTAGCATCTGTTCTCAGAACTGGGTTGTTGGGGTGCCACGTTCTGAGAGCACTGGGAATCTGTAAGAGAAAAGGCAGGTCAAAATCTCATCATCCTTTCCTTCCTCCTCTTAGGAAGGGCAGCAAGAGGAAATAACAGCACAGAAGACAGAAGTCAGTAAATCAAATGCTTTTACTCATGTCTGTTCTCATTTATGACCCTTTATCATTTACTTTAATTGCACAGACCAAAATTAGTGACCAATTTCAATTTTTGCAAGTTACAACTTTTATAGCTTTTTCATTTTTATTAGGAGAGGATAAAATCATGGATAAGTCTCTACATGGGCTCAAAGATAGGAAGTAACTTTTTACTAATCCTCATGCAAACTACTGCCATTATTGGAGACTGAGGTTGAGTGTAATTTCAGGAAAAAGCTCACTCTTAGGAGTATGTTAATCTAATAACAAGCTAATTTCTAATCCTTTCACAACAGATGTAATTTTCACATATTAGATAGTAATTATAGGCATATTAAGCAATATTAACATTATTAAACAACAATGAACAGCCTTTATATTAAGGTAATGCAAACTCTGAGTAATTTGAAGTGCCTTGCCTAGTAAAAGAGCATAATTTTCCATTAGAGCTCTTCTAAACTTCTAGTTTGCCTTTTTTTTTTTTCTCTTACAGGTCTGGAGTTCTTCAACAGAATGAATCTCACCCTCACATTTACAGAAGAATTTATGCCTGATCCCAGAACTCCAGGGACACTAAACACTTTCAAATCTTTTCCTATTTTACCAACAAATTATGCCCATGTGGAAAAGGAGATATTGCTTTATGGTGGTATTGCCACAGAAGCTGATTTCTGAGTGTGCTGGGTGTATCTCATGCAATGAGTTTTCTGAGACTAAAATGCGCTGGCTGCTGCTCTTCTCTATTTCTTAGTCTTTTGCAAGCATACACTAAACTGCAGACCTGGCTGCCACTAAGCATATATTTTATATGGGGAATATTATTACTGATAAAAATAAAATATGTAAGTTATTCAATATGAATGACTGCTCATCTCCCCCTTGATGTATAGAAATAAGCCACATCTGAGTGCAAACTCAGGCAACACGGACAATAACACAGAGGAAAAAAAATAGTGAAATGCTTCCAACAAAACAGTTAAATTATCCTTTTAAAAAACCCCAGAATAAATAACCAAACCCCAAAACACCCTAAATTCCTCTTACTAACTTTTTGTTTCCTGAAGGCTTCTCTATAACAAGGTTTTCCTAAAAGAAAGATACATTTATGGAATTTGCAGAAAGAGGACAAGTGTCCTACTTACCTATTTTCCTTTTGAAGCAAAGGTCCTCTAAATTATAACTCTCTCTCTAATTAGTGTTTCTACATAAAGCAGGCTCAGCTTTGCACTGAATGAGTAAGGAAATGAAACATTCACTCATGGCTTTCTATGTATCAGCCCAGGGCAACTACACAGCCTGGCTCTCCCCATAATTCCCAGGACAACCTGTGGCAGACACATAAACCATGAAAATCTCTCCTTGAGTAAATTTGTACTAGAGCAGATGGAATTTTTCTGTACTTAAAAAAAGAAAAAAAAAGGCAAAACAAACCCATGTACATGTGAATGAGGAAATGGCCTCTCTGCAAAACGTTTTCCTCACCTACGTTGTCACTGGTGCCAGCCTTAAGAAATCTGCACATCTCAAATGATGTATGGACTCTTAAAGGAAGATTGCACTACACCAAAATCCCTCCAGTAAAACAAAAATATACAAAGCATTAAGTTCTAAGTTATGTACATGTATGTAGTTCAAACATTTCATTTTCTTACAGAAAATGCCAGAACTAGCAACAGTGATAATGGTTTCCAAAAATGCACAAAATTTTTGCCCCAAAGATTTAATCAATAGGATTTGAAAAACAGCATTGAATATTTTGAGATGGTTTATGAGCTGTAAAAGTGATGGACTTCAGACATTCAAAGTGTATAAGCTGTATTAAAAATACAGTTATCAGCATTTACTGATGACAGGCTGAAAAAAAAAGAGTGAAAGAAGAGAGAAAAGAGCAAATAAAAATATTGATGAGTTTGTAAGTGACACTGGTCCAATCTCTAGCTGAAAGGATTATGTACAGCAAGGAAAAAGCTTCTTTCTCCTTTACTCCCTTTTTCAAAGAGATTGCATATTGTCAAGGTCCATTTCCATTAGAGGAATACATTAAAATAATTTTTAATCTATATTCTATTTTCTGGCCTATAGAAGGTATTCAAAGACAGAGGAAAGTCTAGACTTCTGCCAAGGAGATTAAACAAACCCACATTCCTACACAATTTAACTGTGCTGTTACACATCAAAATTCAAACCAGAAAAAATAACTCAATGCAAATGCTCAACAAATACAGAATTATGGATTCTGACAAATCAGGGGGAAGCAAGACTACGAAAGGAGTGTCTGAACTTGATGAGGAGATCTGTGTAGGATGGTTTCTGGATCCTTATACCCATTTGAAGGGTCCATCACAGCTGCATATAACTCACTGTAAGCTCTGCAGACCAGCTCTGTTGACTGTTTTATTATCTGCTCTCTAAAAAAAACAAAACAAAAACCATAATTTGCAAATTGTAGGGAATGTAAGTGCACCACATACAAGGAATTACAGATGCATGCTAAAAGTAACATTAAAAATCAGTGTGAGTCACAATAAAAAGCCCTTTTACTTCAGCTGTGAAGACAGGTTAAGGTTGTAAAACAGAAGGAAGCTTCTTCATTCTCTTTGTATCATACACAGATAAACTCACATCTATGATCCTGATAACTAAGAAATGACCTTATTTCTGCCATCATGAAAAAACCAGCAGAAGGATTTATCTTTTAAAAGACTGATCATCCTAGTGATCTACCTTCTACCTCCTGTGGCTTCTCGCTGTCCTCTGGAAAGACTTTTTTTTTTTAAATCTACCAGCAAATATGTTCTATTTGCTTTACTTTGACTCCATAATCAGTCAAAAAGGAAGAGCTGAAAGTGACAGTGGTCAGAGGTTTAAAAGTTGCTACACAGCCTTTTACCAACAATGCTGTGAAGTCTGTATCCTGTAATTTTTCTGGATATAAATGAGTAACAATGCAGAGAGAACAGATGCTAAATTTAACTCAAAAGTTTAGTATTTAAGACAAACTAATATATTTATTTTACACTGGCAATCGAATCCATTTCATGGCCATGGTGATGTGTTTACAGTTGCATTTTTATTTATCAGAAATAATAGTTAAAACTATTTTACAGCCCCTCATTCAACTGGAACACGAGGAGGAGCTGAGGAAACCAAGGTAACCACGAATCCAGACTCAGCCCTGCAAAGGAATAATGACATCTAAACTGCATCCACTAAAATCAGGGCTGACTTTACCAGCTGCTGGCAACTGGCAAGTTAAAGAAATCTCAAAGACCAAGCACACAGAACTTCACCTTTTCAGGCAATATTAAGAAACAGAATATATTAAGAAGCTGTGAGAAAGATGATTAAGGCACAAACCTGCATTTTATTCTGATGCAAAGTATCTGCTTTTTTGATATACAGATCAACTGACAGAGTCACTGGTTTATTAGTAGACTGAAAAAAAGACTGGCCTTGTAATAGTAAATTAAGAAACACTATTTTAAGTGAAACACATTCAAGGTGTTCAGGTGAAACAACTGGCAATGAACAGTCTGGGATCACAGAGCTACTGTGACAAGACAGTCTCTGAAGTATTGCACAGTGAAATGTTATACAATTAACTGCATTGCACCAAATAATATTAAAAGAAAAAGTTCATTAAAATATTCTAGAGGATTGAAAAGCATCAAATGAGTCTTTCCATCACATAATGTCAGTGCCATTAATCAGTACATTAGGATTTCAGTTGCCATAACAACGTGATATATTTTACCACTGACACAAATGGTAGTACCTTCTAAAAATAGTAATGCCAGTTTTCAGTTTCTGTGAAACAACACAAATTAAAAGAGTTTTTCAAGACCAACAACACATAAATAAATTGTTGAAAACTTTTTAAATAAGCAAAGGAATCTGCAAGACAAGTGCATGCACAAGCAAATGTTGGAAGGAATGTTCTTCACAGTAGTAAAGCTGAAATGATATTGTCACTGAGTGTCTGACACACTGGTCCCTCCCAAACAGAACGTGGCCTGATTTTGAGAAGCAAAGAACTCCACAAGTTCCAGCTCAAATGCTAGAACTGTGGAATACAACTACATGATTTCAAGGAAGGTGTCTTCAAAACTGACATCAAATGCAATCCACAAGGAAAATTTCAACTACTACAGCTAGAAAATAAAATTATAGTACCAGTTAAAGGTTTTGCTTGAATTTTGAAGGTTTATCTACTACAGAAAATATCACTATTAAACCCTGATTGTACACCCCTGCATCTCTGTAAATAGGTATTTAAACTTCAGAAGGATTGCTGCTGTCTGAAGATGTATGCTTGAAGGTTAAGGGGCTAAGAGGTTTTATTTGTTTTTAAATCGAAAGGGGAATCTGACCTGCAGTGTTGAGTTCTAGCAAGTTAATAAACTCCTGCATGTTGGCTGAGCTGCAGCAGCTATATATATCTTCCTCACACAGGCTCACTTCTCACCTGCCCACTACTGCAAGGTAAAATGAATTCTGCTTAAATTGTGCTATGAGAGGTTTAAAAAGCTTATCAATGGGACAAGGCTAAGAATGCATACATGAATAGTTTATCTTGGTTCATCTGACAGAGGAAATTATTAAATCAAAGTACTTTTACTGTACCTGGGTCTTTAGAGTAGCATAAAGCCTACCTCTGAGAAATTGCTTCTGTGTTAGCAGTGAAAAATTGGGGCTTTCAAAATACATTTACTGGTATTATGATTTTTAAATAGACCTACATTAGGAAAAAAATACAAGTTTAATAGCTTGACACCTAGAAGCAGCAGTTGCAATGCTTCACTGACATTACTGATCAAGCAGTAGTGTTGGGTCTGTCCTGGAGCAGAACAGCTCTCACACAAACAGGGTGAGCTCTGCTGGCTGAGCTTCAGGAACAGCAACCCTACCAGAGAGACCCAACAAGCTACTGAAAAGCACCAACACCTCCCTTGCCAAGTCATGAACCAGGTATATGACATGAAACTGGAAGCCTTTGGATGAGGAGAACCTGAATGACACAGCAGGAGAACCTGGCAGTTGAACCAGCTGATTGTTGTAGGACCCATCCAACTCAACCATTCTATTCTAATAAATTCCCAACAATAAATATTTCTCTCTTGACATCTGTCATTTTTAACCTGCAGGATGCTGTAATATAACCCAGCTGAAGACAGGCACTAGCAATGAGACTCCAAATATTGTAGCTTTACACAAAATGTGATGGGCATTAGTCTCAATTTCTGGTATAATCTGTAACCTGCATTCTTCACAAAAGTGTGAAAAGTAACGTCAAGAAAAGTTTTTGATCAGTGCAGCATATCATACTCTGAGTTTAAGTACTATAAAATGTCTTCCTATGGTTCACATTTAACTGAAAAGAAATTCATGGCACTTTCCCTAGCCATAGGGCTTGGTTATACTCAAAAAACAAGAGAAGAGATAAACAATAAAGTTCTCGCTTTCATGAAAGAAGAAATCACTAAAGAGATAAACAATAAAGTTCTCGCTTTCATACTTGAAAGAAGAAATCACTAAAAAAGAGGTGAAAAGTAAAATAAACTGCACAATATTCATTGAGGCAGAAGGCCAATACTCTACAGCAGAAGACAACAAAGTTGAAAATTCTAGACCTGATGGAGCAGTGGGGATAAAAAAAAAAATCTTGAGTGAATAATTATGTATTTCATCTGTCTTTGGAATGCTCACAAAACAGTTCTAAAACAATTCACAACTAAGTTGACAAAAAACTGCCAACACAGCAGAACATGTTCAAAATGATGAATGTAATTCCTTTTGATGGTGTCTGTTAACTCAAGAGTAACTATTTCAGTAAGTCATAGAATTACAAATTCCTCACTGCTTGTTCAAATAGAGGAGGCTCAGAACAAAACTGAATTGTGACCTCCAGGACGATGCCAATACGAACGCAGCTGATGACTTGAGTTCTCATCATGCTCCAGTAAAACCTGCTCAGATTCACCTCTCTGATCATCACATGCAGAAATTCAAAGGTAAGGTACTTACTTCACAGTGGCACTCAGAAGGAAATTCAGCTGGGACATTAAGAGACTATCTGGAGCAGAGAGATAGCGATCAAACTGAGCCTAGGGGTGGGGAACAGAATATGACACAAACATATTGAGACTTTGCTGTTGTAGGAAAATGGGTAAAAACACAGACCTCTGAAAAGTGATTACATTAAAATAGCAGCTTCTTTGATAAAATTTTCTCTTTTTAGATATTTAATAAGCCTACAAATGTTTAAGGTAGAACTTAACAGCCCAAAAGAAAAGTCTATCTTCAGCACCTCTGTCACCAAAATTTTAAGCTTCTGACTCTGAGGACTATGGGTGGAGGGGCATAATTATCCATCTCAGTTTCCTATGCAGCTGGTGCATGTATGCATGCACCACTAAACATCAGAACTGCTCTATTCAGTGCAGGATATAGTCACTTCCAGACAGAAATTTAGTCTCTCCAAGTTAGACATGTTGCATGGTTCTTTTTAGCTTTTGGCAGGGAGTCACTGCTTAACAATCTGATGAGGACTTACGTTGGGAAAAACATGAGCAAGGGACCTAGCTCAGGCTTCTTAAACTGCTTCTAAGCCTACTTCTCCTCCCACCTAATATAAAATGAAAAAAAAAAAGTGGTTTGACTCCAGTAGTTTGGAAATCAAAACACCAATTACCTATCAGAGAAGCTGTGGATGCCCCCTCCCTCTAAGTGTTCAAGGTCAGGTTGGATGGGGCTTTGAGCAACCTGAGCTAGTGGGCAGTGTCCCTGCCCATGGCAAAGGGGTTGGAGTTAGATGATCTTTAAAGGTCCCTTCCAACCTGTACCATTCTAGGACTCTATGCCCAAATGGGTGCCCATAGAGCAGATGGAGCAAGGTCTTCTCACTGGTGAAAACAGGACGAATACTGGACACATATTCCAGTAAGGAAAAGTCTGATTAGATAGTGAGAGAAAAATCATCACCAGAAATCATCAAACACTGAGTAGGTTACTCAGAAAAGCTGTATAATCTCCATCCTTGGAACTGCTCACTAAGGTGAGGCCCTAGGCAACTTCACCTAATGATGGCGACTTTTGTGAACACTAGATGAACCTTCTCAAGCTGGTGAACCCTAAAATGCACATCCAGCTATCATTTAACATGCAAAAGCTGGGCAAAAATTACTGATAAAGTCACTCACAGTTCTCACTAATTAACTTTTGGGGGTTATCTGTCCTTGTTTGGAAAGCAAGGGAGCTTTAGCTGAGAGAGGAATGGACTTTACTAAAACAGCATTTGTAAGCACCTATGAACAGCTTAAAAGGCTGGGACCCAGAAAACCTGCAGGTTAAGGTGGGAGGCAGTTAATTTGCTTGCAAGTACTGCCTCTTTGTGGTTTAAATCCTGGGAAGGCAACACATTAGGCTGATAGATGGGATTTATGTGGGTTTGATTTCAGCATACTGGGTCCCATCCTTTGTATTTACACAAGCAGATATTAAATAAATTAATTAAGAAAATTAAACAGTTGGATTCTTGTCTAACTATTCCAAGTGAAATTAGGTACTAGTATAAACAACAGTTTTATATCTGTCTATCTATCTATCTATAATTTACAGAGATGGTCCCCAAGCTGCTGTCTTTAACCTCCTCATTGGTTTACAAGACCATGGTAAATAGAAGGTATTTTAAAGTCAAAGTATTGATAAGAATGCATGCTGATCTGAGTAAACCACTGAGTGCTCTGTGCCAGAGCCCTGTCCACCCAACCAGCCTGAGAATCACTGATTTAGAACTTGAACAGAGGAAAACAGGCTCTGCTGACACAATTAGGAGGGATTCAATATACAGTTTTTTAAAACACTTTTTTATTTAAAAAAAAAATGACCTTTTTTTGTGGGGGTATATGTATACTGTTGGACAAGCAGGCCTTATTTACTGTTGAATTTCCAGAATAAAGCTAAACTTGGCTAAGCAAGAAGAGTGAGTGATCATATATTATTGCCTACTCAACTGTGATACTGCTATCTCTATGCAAAATAGCCTTCACACACTCTAAGAAAAAATATCAGCTGATAATTTTAAAATATATTGTAGCTTTGGACTTAAAAAAATACAATTGTCACATAAGCCCAGCACCTAACTTCTGAGCTGAGCTGAAATATTTGCATAAAATCAAAGCCTTAGGACTAAAATTATAAACAGCAGGACCTATAGTTCAAAGCATATGGGCAAAAAAACCCCCCAGCTTTGGTGATTAAAACTAATTAGAGCTAAGTATTTGCTTTTAGCAATTTAAGATGACTCATGGGATAATGTTCTAAGTAAAGTTCTGTTTTCTCAAGGCTTAGAGACCAATATTCTGTTACTACCCGTTCATAAATAATTGATGTACTTATTACTTCAAGTGGTCAAATTACCATGAAGAAAGTATTCCCAGACATGCAACTTTGCTATTCTTAGAGAGTATGACAGCTGAAATGAATATCTACTACATCACATAATGAACAGTGTCCTTTCCCATGTCACAGCACAGCTTCACCACCACGACAGGACACTGTAAGGTTCTTACCATCGCAACCTTCAGGGACACGGAATCCATGCTTGGCAAATTTGCAAGAGGACCCTAAGAATCAGGAGTCAAAGGAGGGGGAAAATAAAGGTTATACTAGCATATAGAAAAAGATAAGAAATAATATAAATTGTCATTTGGTCCTGCCACAGGATCTTAAACGTCTGGAAACTGAATCACCATGTCAAGGCTGAAGTGCTGTAACAATTCATTTGTGTTCTACCCTGCTCTTAAATTAAAAACTCCTCATACTGAGTTCTTAATATGCCCTTTCAAGTCCTCTTCTTCCTTCTTCAACATTTAATGATAATCCCCATCAAAAGCCTTCCACAAGGTCTAGGATAAATACCAAACTGCAAACTGGCCACCTCGGTGTTGCAGAATTTCCGAGAACTTCCCTCTGTTCATCTCTTGTGGGACTGTGCAGAGCTCAAGCCTGGTTCCCAGTCAATCCCAGTCAGTGCTGGGATGGCCATCCAGTGAATCCATGCTGCCAAACCCCTAGTAAATGCTGTGATGGCACCTCTGCAGCCAGGCAGCTGGAGAGACAGAAATGAAAACTGCTGCATCCCATCAACAACCTGCCCTGGCTGCTCTGAAACTGCTTTTGGAATAAGAGAGAGGCTCATGCATGGGAAACCAAGCTGAGTTATTAATCAGGTTATTTATACATTTATTTATTCATCTTTATACATAAAAATCTGTTCAGTTTGGGAACTTTATGCAAAAATATTGGCTGAAGAAACAACATAAAGCTCTCCAACAGAGTTCTGTTTTCTCCAGGAAGCACTGCTCCTCACTTTCACAAAAGATCACAAAAGGACATGGGCACAGCTGAAGGGAGGGGAGGCTGCATTCACACCTAGCACACAACAACTGTGCTTCACAAGAAACCATGAGCTCTGAATTCCAGTTTTCAGCTCACTCTAAGAAATCTGAAGTTTTCAACTTTTAGAATCTCACTGTCTTGGTGCTAGAGTAGCTAGAGCAATGAATAAGGAGAAAAGAAGAAATTCTTTCAAATTACTATTAAATTCAACTGCCAGTTTTTCACAGGAGAGTGGTCATGAGGAGACCATTCACAGAAGAGGAGAGAGCCAACATGCACATTATACCAGCTTACCTGTTCTGGCTTGTGTTGCTGCACAGAATTATAGATGTAACTTAGACCAGCTCTTGTTAACACGTAGGAAGCTTGTTCATTGATGAGAGTATCTAAATGAGCTTCAATCTGAAATTTTAAGCATAAAGTATTTCTAAAATGGGCATAAGAATATTAAATAAAGCAAGCCTAGAAACACAGATAAGAAAAAGCAAATCAGCCAACAAGGGAAACTCACAAATACATAGAGCATAATTATTTTATCTATGTCTTCCATATTATAAAGAGGCAATAATAAAAATACTGATAATCCTTTCATGTCTAACAGAAGAACCTAATTTTTTTTTTGTATTTGTACATTCAAAAGCACCAAAAATTAAGACTATTAAAGTCCTGATTTTACAAATTGTTCTGTAATTTTATTTTGCTATAGTTCTTTGGAAACAAGTGATAAAAATCATCCTACTCTTACTGAAAATATTGACAATAGCACAGAAGTTTTGTAATAATGAGAGAAGTCTTTCACAAGGAAAATAAAACTGAAACTAAATCATAATCAGTAGTGATTTTAAGTTTAGACAATGACAATGAAAATTACAAATAGACAATGAAATTACAGCTATCAATTTTAGTTTAATGATCTTCATATGGAAAAGTCATAAACATATTTTACTTTCTTAGTATAACCTTCACTTTGCAGAGAAACCTGATTAATAAATCCAGTCACAGCAGCAGCAAATATTTTAGTTTTAGTCTTGGAAAGATATTTGGGTATATATACATTATTGCTCCATTTTTGCAGATAACTATACCACATCTCATTTATTTTTCTTCCAATCTTAAAGTAGAACTTGATAATATATCAAACTCTTGTAAAATACCAGACTTCCATGTCTGAAATTCTACGAGTTCACCTTTTTACTCCCTATAGTTGTTTAGAAAAATGCACCTTTTTTTTTTTAAGTCAGGCAGGAAAACTTAATATTTCAATTTGGAGATCTTTACTGTCTTAGAGAGTTCTTTTTTCCCCATGAAAAATGTTCCTCTTATTAAATATACCATTGTAAAACTAATAAACTACTTATGGATAATCTTAAAGATATTTTTTCAGTCTGTTCTCATATCTATAAAATGTCTGAAGAAAATAAATGGTATTAAATGCATAACCTTCAGTTCTACTGCTTATCTGCAGAGTAAATCAGTTGCAACATTTACTGTGAAAAAGAAACTCTAATAATGGGCATTAGAAATGCGCCAGACAGTTTGGTGGGGCTGCCTGTTTGTTTCAGAGCTAAAAAGTGCTAAAAATTCTAATTGGGAGTAGAAAATGAAACCTGGCTCACAGCCAACCCTTACTGATGCCATCAGATAAGAAGCTGTGACTTTTTTCTAAACCTCCCAGTATCACATCTCTCCTGAGATACATCACAACGATGTTCATGGAGTAAAACTCTAAGTGGGCAGTGCCTAAATTTCCCCAAGACAATAGTGTATAAACTACATTTCCATTTCAAAACAGTACCACATATGAGCTACTATCCTGGCATGTTAGGGGAAACCAAACAAATAAGAAAGGTGGAGAGAAGGACTGAAGCAGTAACTTCAGCCATACTCTAGCCTGAACTAGATCATGATCTCATATTAACTATATGATCAAATATAGTCAGTCATTTGACTGAGCTTTCAACTTCCAACTGCTGCTTCTCACATAGTTTGCAACTAAGTGTTGGAATGATTAGGATCACAACAATGCAAAGCAAATCTTCTAATAATTTTTTTCAGTTTAAAATAAAAGATGCTGTGTACCATAAGCTCTAATACCTGCTATTTGCTTACAGCCTCTGATATGCCTCTTAACCCATTTTTGGTTGATAACTGACTCAAAGCCAACATTATCAAAGATAAAAGCATCCACAGCACAACTTATAGTCTGCAAAAAAAAAAAAAATCAGTATGAAGTTCATTTTTTGGGGAGACATTAAAGCTTACCTGAAACTGTAACATTTCTAGTCGTTTGTCAGTGAATTCAAAGAGAGCCAAAGTTGTCTTCATCATGTAAAGTGAATTTACCATGAAGGTTGCCATATCAGCTGTGCCCAAATTGCTAGCAGACATAGTGCACATCTGTAACAATGGATCTAGCACACAAGACAGAACCTAATGCAGAAAACAGAGGGAAGAGGGAGGAGAGGGAGGAAATCATGTCACACAAGGTTTCTAAGCTCATTCTGTCTCTATCACATATTTATTCCCCAAAGCAGAATAAAGAGAAATGAGAGTTTCCAACTGGGAAAGCAGTTTTCTCCTGGATTTGTCAGCAGGTGATCAGCTACCATAGTGATGGGAAAAGTATAAAAACCAGAGAAGAACAGATTCTAACCTAGCAGGAGAAAGATTAACCCAGATTAGATAATTGGTAATTGTGCAATCTTGAGGGTGTATTTACTTAATGGAGTAGTAATTGGATAACAGAATTTAGACACTGTGTTAAAAGTAGCACTCCATACTGTACTGTAATTATCCACTTTGTTAGTCACCATCTTATTCACACTACAAACTCTGGTTTGGTAGAAGGCTCCAAAATGGGACCAGACAAAGAAGATTACACGTCTCATCTATCTTTTGTGTACCAAGACTAATTACACACACTTTTTTTTTCCCCTTCCTCCTCAGAGCAGTCAAATGTTCTTATACCTGCACAAAGTCAGCTTGACGGGCATCCAGTGGAACAACAGATGAGTCATGAGATGCCAGAACCTCCCGCAGCAAGTTAAGGGTCTGATTTAGTGCAGTGCTTGGGCCAAGATCAGGAGGTGGGAGTTCAACCTGAAGAACAAGATTATCTGTTTGTGGCAGATTTTTAACTTCATTTACAGCAAACGTAATTTAAGCTGTTAACACAAATGCAATCACCTAATAATAACATTTCACATAGCCATGTAGGGAAGGACTCTGACACTGGACAAATACAGCATGTTTTCAGAGAACAGCCTACAGCTCTCAACAGAACCATGCTGCTCAGTGACAAACAAGCAGAACTCAATTTCTTCTTTCACTCAGGCTATTCTATTTTATAATCTAGAGGTCCAGAGAAACTCAAACACTAATGGTTTTGGTAGTTGAAAAATACATTTGCTAGATTAAGTGACAGAGAGTAGTCACATTGTTAGCACCAGTGAGTTCACTTCAGGCAGGACCTCCTGTAAACACTCCAGAATGTAGTGGAGGCAGAGCTCTGGGATCTTAGAGCCATACTGCAACAGCTGAATGAAGGCATCTTCCTGACAAGGCTGCACAGCCCCTACTCATGCTGAGTGTGAAAGCTGCAGTCACAGACACAACAAGTTTAAGCAAGCTTGTGAAAGCTGCAGTCACAGACACAACAGTCTCAATCCCCAGCAAGCTTTAACCTTAAATTGCCAGTATAGCAATGAACTATGGACAAGCTAACTCAACTACACCTAATACTGCAATGATACTGCAAGAACAACTAGGCCAGCATTCCACAAAAAGTAGGAACTGCAGATTGTTAAGAAACAGAAAGAACAAAAGTTTGTAAATCTCACAGAAAAAAACAGTAGGAACAGCAGATTGTTAAGAAACAGAAAGAACAAAAGTTTGTAAATCTTGTAAATCTCACAGAAAAAAAACACACTTTCAGAGTCAAATTATGAAAAGTTGGAACCCTGGAACTGGACTGAAATTCTATGCTGTTTTTAACACAGGCTCCCATCCTTTAGCCCTTCTTATAACAGGCAGATACCCACCAAATGCTTCATAAAATGTTTATATAAAACCTAGCACATCTCTTTTAACCCAACCCACATTCCTCAGGCTCCACTCCAAACATGGTTGCATCTTCTTGTCTTCAATGCTGCCTCCAAGTGTCTTCCTGCTGCCTCCAGACCCTTACTACAACCCGTTTTGTTGGCCTCGTTTCCTTCTGCCAACAATCCTCTTCCCATCTTTCCATCTCCTGCCTATCCAGAGGCAAGTACAGATCCATCCAGAGCGTGTGGGAGGAAGGAGACCCCAGCAGTGGGGAATAAAGTAATGCTTCAAGGCATAATCTCTTTCCAGAAGGATGTAGGGAGAAATAATTTTGTCTGGGACTGGCCTGTGTGTCTCAGTCCAGGTGTTTAGGTGCAGCAGAGGAAGGCACTGTACACTTCTACAACACTTTTAAGATTCCAGCTCAACAAAAAAGCCAAAGGCAGCTGTGGATGAACGCCCAAGCCACAGGCAACATGTTCCATACTTTTCCAAATGAGAGCTACTGATTAACAGCATAAAAATGTGGATGTCTGAGCCTTCAAGGAAGAAAAAAGAATATCAAAGGGGCAGAGGCTGATGGCCAAAGAAACCAAGGCAGCCAGCACAACAGGCATTTTCAGAGTGGAGTACTGCAGGGCCTTCTGGAAACGAAGCTGTACACAACATGCTACCAGAGAAAGAAGAAACAACTTGGCTCTCTGGAGCCAGGCCTAACTTTCACACTGTGTGTTCCAAAACATTTGATAGCACATGCGTCCCCACGGTGTTATCACGACAGATCAAACAAAACCAACTTCTGAACACTAAGTGTTCCTCTGCTCTCACCTTCCATGAGATAGGACACTGAATTCGAGGAACTAATGGAAAACTAAATCTAATAGCTTCAGAGAACAGTTGTCCATCAACCTAAACAGTCTTGAAAGCATAAAAACCAATATTCTAGCAATGAAGTAACAGTAATTCAGCAAGAGACAGCATCGAGTGGCTTTTCTTGTTTATTCTTGTTATTATTAGGGGTATTGATTGTGCCCTGAACAGGCTGTTCTCAGACCTGAACTGGGCCGTGTTCAGGGATATTTTGGCATTAATTTGAGACTAGAGTTTGATGGGGTTTGTACTTCCAACACACACACTGAACACGGCAACGATAATCTCAGGCTTCTTTGTACAGAATTTTTGTCTCCAGAAGTAGCTGATGGTCAGAAGCTTCTCAATTAGCTTCATCTTTCATTTAATCTGTTCTTTGAAAGTCCAATGTCTTCTAGATGGGAGCAAGGAACAACATCATGGAAGAAGAGAACACAGCATGAAAAAAAGGTTTAGCTCGTTAGATTCTATTTGAGTTAGCTTGAAATTCCTGACTACTCCAATAGAAGCAGAATTATGAGCAAGTGGAAGGAAAAGTAAAGCATTAATAATTTTGAAAATACTAACTTTTTGCACATGAATGTAGTTGTTTTTTTTTTTTTTTCAGAATGAAAAGGTAAATTTAAAATCAGACACATCTACTTTATAGAGGAACCTACTGACTTCAATTCCTGAGAGCTAAATCTGCTACTCTAATAAAATAATTTAGCTTGAAAGTTTCATGTTCACTAAAAGATTATTATAATTGATCCTATTTCCATAAAAATATAGATTTTAAATACATGCTGAATTCTACTTTTGAAGTGCCTGCTTCAGATGCAAGCCAGACAAGACCTAACTAAAAAATTATCAGGGGAGTTCTGTAGCAGCTTGTTCAACAGCATTAAAACATACTCTAACATTATTAATCTTGTAGTATTAAGTGTCTCATCAGTTATAGCCAGCAGTTCAGTTATGCAGAAATGAGGCCAAACAGCTATTCAGCCTTTCAAACAGAACAAGAGGAAGTTCCCTATTTTTTTAAAGCCAGTACAGAAAACTGAAATGAATTCTCCTAAAATTACAATGGACACTGAAAGTTGTACACAAAGTTTAATATAAAAAGTTGTATCTTCATTTAAAGTTCTGCACAGGAATCAGCAGGGAATAACTACTAAGACAGTAATCTTCCTTGAAATACTCAATTCAGAGACAGCTTCTCTGTCTTTGAGAGCAAATAGCTCAAAGGATGTCTTCAAGGATTTAACAAACAGCAAAGGGAAATACAGGAAAAAGAAAAGGCAGTATCAAAAAACAAGAAGACAGTGTATCTATGTTGTTTCCCTTTCTCATTTATACAGAAGGTTAATTGAAAAAGTTAGTGCAGAACTAAAAGTGCAGGTTTTGTTCCTATTAAGTACAATTAATTCTATTAACTGGAGCAGATATAAGCAAAGCATCTCTGTTAGAAGCTCATGTGTACCTGCAAATACTGAAAATACTGTACAGAAAAGCAATCAAAACTATTTATATACTATCCTAACTGAACATTAGAAAGTTAACATTGCAGAGAGACACAGACATATTGGAGCAAGTTGAGCAAAGGGCCACAAAGTTCATGAAGGGACTAGAGTATTTCCTACACAAGAAGAGGCTGTGTTCAGCCCAGAGAACAGAAGGCTCAGGGGGGAAGTTATCAATGTGTATAAATACCTAACAGGGGGATGAAAAAGAGGGAGACAGACTCTTCTTGGTGTCCAGTGACAGGTCAGGGGCACTGGGCACAGATTGAAACAGAGGAAAACAATTTTTTACTGTGAGGTTGGTCAAAGACTGGAGACAGTTGTGCAGTGAGGATGTGGAATCTCTATCCTTAGAGACATTAGAAATTCAACTGGAACCAGTTCTGAGCAACCTGCTGCAGCTGAAACTCTTTGAGCAAGATGATTGGACAAGATGATCTCTAAAGGCTCCAGGTGAACTCATGCATTCTGCAATTCTGTGTATTAGCATTAAGTAAACCAAGAAGGTAACTTGAAACCCAGAACTCCTCAGAGGAAGCACTGCTCACAGTGGCAAATGAAATGTTGGTGGCTTTTATAAGGGCTTGATTAATCAGATTTCAACACAGCCTTTTAAAAACCTCACTGGCAGCGGGCAGAGCCAAAGCACTCCAGATGTGGAACCTTGTGCAAGGCTATCTAGATGTTTCACCCTGTCAGTTACAACTGATTAGCATCAGCTACAGAAGTTCATTCAACAAACTGAGACAATAATCACCACAAACAGCAGCAGCCTAAGACACTTGAGGGCCTATGCACCAGAGAAGCTTCAGACATGCTGTCCTAAGATCTTCTCAGCCCCATTAGGACCCTACAGAGAACAGAAAGATTTTTGCTAGGTTTGTTTTGTTGATGCAAATCCACTCAAAACCAAAACAAAACTCAGATCACAGCATCAACCAGTCTCATTTAATCTGCCCTGTATGTGGCTTCCCAGAAACCTAAGAGGTTTCATTCAGACAGGAAGCCAATTATGGGGGAGAAGTTCACAGTTATTCTCATGCAATGTTTTCACACCTTTGTCCCTGACAAATTTAACAGATAATGGGATCACAGCAATTAATTTGCATAGATCTACTCTAACATTTGATTTATGAGAGCAAGGTCAAAGGAAACATAAAAAGATGCATAAGGACTGAACCTGTAATTCTGATCTGCTTTACTAGCATGGCTGGTAGACCCAAGGAAGCTAAAAAGAAACAAATATAAATGCATTTTTCAACATGGACACATTAACATTGGCCAAGAAACATTCTGGTTGAGCCAATTAGAATAAACCAATTGTTACCAGAGCTAGAAGGCACTGACAAAACTGCCCAATGCTACAACTGAAGGGTAGGAGCCAACACTGCAAAAGAGACACAGTGCTTGCAGCAAAAGCTGATGCACTGAACCTTCAGTGACACAGGAGAAGGGTGGTGATTCACAGCTTCTAGAGAAACCCCAAGTTGTGAATGGCATTTTAAACCTGAAAAAGTGGCTTTGCAGTGACTCTGTTACCAAGCTTCAAGACAGGTTTCAAGAAGTGCTGGAGCTAAAGAGACTCCCTTGTGTACTGACTTTCTTAGAAAGCAATGGACCTACTTTCAGGCAGTATGCTGAATATTTCTCTTACACAGATTTCAGATTGTGAAGAGCTACCTGAGAACACTGAATGAGAACACCACAAAAAGGGTTTCTCAGACTGAAGAGGGTGAATTTGTGAGAACTGCTGACTACCTTGTTTTCAGATTACAGCCAGGATGCCTCAGATTTTCTGAAGTAATGAAAAAGAGATGTTCATGGGAAAGTGCTTCTGAGCAAGCCAGTAAGTGCTCTGAAGTAACCAGGCATTTCCCTGTATCATTTACACTGATGGCTTGACAACGGAGAGGGAGAATCCTGATCTAAGACTGCCTTTAAGTTTCCACACAGCTCCTTGCTTGTGACACTCCTTATGTAATATGGGACACTTTTCAAAAATAGATGTGAAGAGGGAAGTTATTTTCCTGTCCTAGAAACAACAGCCTGAAATCTCAGTTTCCCATTGCACTTCAGAAATTAAAACCCAGGCAGTTTGAAGGCAATGCTCAGCTCAGCATAATCAATAACCTGGGGAATTCAGCTGTCTGTGGTGATGAGGACATCAGAGTCAAATCACCATCCTGTCATTTGTCTACATCCAAACAAAGTGAACCTGAGGAGTTAGCCTACTTAATGAAACATGCCTTGTCAAAAAAAATAGTCATAACTAGCTATATTTAAGAGAAAGATTTGCTTAAACAGTATTCTGGTCTTTCAACTACTAAAAAGACAGACTGTGCTAATAAAAAAGCATACCACAGCAAGACCCAGTAATACACCAGTGTTTCTAGACAGTTCTCCCCACACTGCAGCACAAGAGATTTTGCACAGGGCTAAAGAGACCCCTGCCAAGTTACAAATTCACTGGTAATTATGACTAAGTCTTCTGGAATTTTGTAGCTACAAACAGCAATTAAAAAAAACCCACTTAAATCCTCTTTAAATAAAAATTGTAGAACTGATTTCCATTCATAATTTCTTGCTTACAATTTTCAGATTATCCACAACAACTGAGGATATTAAGGGAATACTATCATTAAAATCATGTAACTCACAAAGGCTATACTCACCACTTTCCAATGATGTTAACAATGGAAGCATTTAATTTATAGAAATAATTTTTATTTAAAAGCACCCTATGAATTTATTTTGAAATTTATTTAAAATGCCTTAAGAATCATATTTTAATCAAAGTAATGGACAGCTGATATGCTTTGAAACAGGCTTATCAACACCTTAAGATGTCAAATATAAGCAGAAATCAGACACCATGATTTCCAGACTTTCCAAGAGAAATGTAATTTACTAATTTTGCAAGTGAATATTCTCTTTGTGCATAACAGGAGCATCAACGAAGCCTCTGCAATCACATATGGAAGCACAAAGGGTTTTCCAGTGCTTTAATCTTCTCTGAAAATAAGATAAAAAAATAATCTGGAAGCAGTTGCAGCACATCCATGGCTGGCAAAAAGCTGGTAAAAAGGCTGGGATGTGAAGAGAATCCTACTCATCTATGTACACAATTTTGGTCTGGACACACGTCAAAAGAAAGGATGGCAAAAATCAATCTTGAGATTCCCCCAAACATAAAAGCACTGTGATATTCACTACCAAATTAATGAAGACATATAAAAAGGCATAAAACTGGTTATCTGTGTATTAACACACAACAAACTAACAGGATTAACTATATCATAAAATAGGATCATTATCTCATGGAACCTAATCTTTCTCTTGAGTGTAATTCAGCCTATTAATTTTGTATTTTTGTTGAAGTAAAACTAATTTTGGTCATGAGGAGATAGAGACATCATTCTATCAATGCAGCAGCCCACTCAGAAAGTGTAATAATAAAGGTGCTTCAAAAGCCTGGCTAAAACTTGCAGTGACAAGAACATGAGTACAGTAAGATTTCTTCTCAGCCATAGAGTCACTTTGTTGTTAACTCCTGAAGCACAGAGATTAATAAATAATTGTGATTGCCTTTGTTATTCACATATCTAATCCTCTTCTGAGTCTCTATAAGCTTTTGACTTCAATTGTGTCCTGAGGAAAGGTCTTCACAGGTCAACATAAGCAATGTAAAATTGTCAGTGTCTTGGATTTAAATGTGTTTATGAGAAAGAACAATATTATGTCCTTTTTACACTATATGGTAGGTTGGAATGCTATCCATTATTTGTAATAAAACCCCACTGAAGGTGGCAGTGCACTCACTGCCTTCATCTGACATCAGGAAAATCTAATTTAACTCCTTTATAAAACAATGACAGTGTTTACAGCCAGTCACACCCAGGCTGGGGGCTGTGAGAAGGGGAATGAAGAGGGTGAAGAAGGTTGCAAATCCTCCCCACAGTGACACACACCATGAACTGGGGGATCACAATTCCTTTTTCACTCCTCCTCCTCCTTCTGAAGCCTACACGTCTCCCAAATGAAAACAGTGTTATATCACCCAAAACAAAAGCACAAAGATTGAGAGTTATGCAAGGAGGAAAACTTCTGCTGGATCCCATGCAAGTACAGAGATAACACCCAGCAGGACAAAACCACAAGAGCTGAATATAACAGAGCTGAACACAGAACTGTCTCACTTTCAAGCCAAGAAAATTTCTTTCTTTAACTGCTATTTTGCACGTTCTTTGCAATTAAAGAGCAATTTTGTGTTTTTGCTGAGGTCCATCAATGATTTCTCTTCATAAAAGGAGCAAGTACACAGATATTTTATTTTAGCTTACAGAAATAAAGCAGAAATTTTGAGGAATTCTTATATAGCTAGTGTATGCCCATAGAAAGCCATAAGCTTTATTGATTTATTTTTGGTAAATTCATATTGCCCCTGTCCATTGTGTGTTTTATGAACTCTTTAACTGACCCTTGAAGAAGCACTAGCAGCAGAGGAACTCCTACTATTCCAAGGACACTACATTCAGATGGAAATACCCCATGATAACAAACAAGGGACTAAGTGGACTTCAGTAGCCTGCACTTCAGTAGTATGGACTGTGGATGATAGCAACTAAGGAGTAACCCAATTAACAAATGAAACCACTGAAAGAAGTCACTGGGATACACAGAAGGGAAGAAAAGGAGGAACAGCTGTTCCTGTGAGACAGTCATTCCTCAGCCCTTGCAGAATGACAAGAAATTGGGACCAGAGGCAAGCTGAGCAGAATGAGAAAACCACTTTGAGAACACCCAACACCACTCACCAAACTCAGAAAATCCCACTGAATGGTTGGTGGGCTACAATATTTTGCATAAAGAACAGTTTCTGTAAATCTATGGGGTTTTTTTGCATTTTCCTTGTAGGTTAAGTACAAATAACTTAGAAATACTCACAAAGCTCAAAACTTTGCTGTTTGTTTTCCACTTTCAAACTTTTTTTTTTTTTTTAAACTGGAAAAAAACAGTAATATGAGGGCTGAGAGTACTGTGAAATAAAGAAAGGCATTTCTTCTTGGTTTTAGGACCTAGTCAGCTCATCAAGTCTCAGACAGGGATGCTGGATCAAGATCAAATTCTTAGGAAATGGAAAGGGAAACAAAGTCTGACAGTTTTCTTAAAGGTGAGATTTAATGGGTGGATCCACCAACAGCAGCATGAAATGAACACACCAGGGAGAAATTAAAAAAGAAACCCCTCTGTTAGTTGCTGAACAATGGGAAGTTCACTGAAATGCAATTCAAAGTGATCAACAGGAGAGGCAAAGATACCAGGAAAGTGATGCTGGCTCAGGTTCAGTTGTTTGGCACAGTTTGCTTTTACTAGCAGTGATGTTCCTGTGTAAAACTGTTTTTACTAAAGCCAAGAAAATCCAAGTTTTGGTTTTACTTAGCTTACTATCTTGGGATATACTTCATAACTTCAAGAAAGGAATTATGCACATGAGTAATTAATTGATCTGATGATGCATTAATACAAATTATCTAGCTCAGTCAGCTGACTTTGTTACATTGCCCTTAGGGAAATTTCCTAATATTATTGCTTCTCAGAGATTTTAAAGCTATGTAAACAGTACTGTAAACATACTACTAACAATAGTATTCTAGCCATATTTTCACAAAAATAAAACCATTATGAGAATTAAAACAGAGACAAGAAGTTTTTACCTAGTTCCACAGCTAAAATATAAACACTAGAAAACTTGAGCTGTAAAAAAAATTGATACATAAACCAGCTATTCATCTAATAATCTTACTGGAAACAAAAAAAGAGAAATTGAAGTGTGTTGTGAAACATGAAAACTGTATGATTTTGAAACAAACCTTGTCCATTAGTTTACTTGCATGAAGACTCAGGCTATTAAAGAATATCTTCTTGCTCAACAAATGCATTTCTTCAATTGTTGTCAACAGTGTGGCTGCACTGTTTCCTACAATACCACTGGAAACAAAATTAAGATTAATTGAAGAATCTGAAGGGGAGGGGGAATATGACAGGGTCAGTTACATCAGACAACACTTGAAATAAAAAGTTTTTCAAAGTTGAAAATCTCCAACAAATAATTGCAGGGACCAGTTCTCTGTATTAGCTAAGATAAGTACAGGCTATGTAAAGCTTTAAACAAATTTCTTAGTAGAATTCTAAAATTTATAGAATTTTTCTTTTGTTATTCTGTAATTCTATTTCTGTTACAGAAAACAGATTACATAAACAAAAAGGGTTGATAACTATTCTGTCATACTGTCCTTTAGGGGTAGTATCATCTCTCTTTCCTCACTGTGATGTTAGGCATCTCCAAAAGGACAAGAATTCATGTCTTGCTATTCCAAGTGTCAAGCTATTATACTTCACATGAATACCACACAAATCTTAAATGGCACTACATGACTATGCTCCTCTCACAGACAGACCCTCTGTCTAAGGTAGAAGCTCTTTTAAGCTACAAAAAAATGGCAGTAAAAATTCATTGCATCATTATAGGAGTGATTTAAACTTGTAGCTTGATCTTCAGATTATAATCTTGTCGCATTCAATAGATCATTTCTCAAATCACATTTTTGCTTCTTTAGTCAGGTGCACTTCCTCTACACAGAGGAAGTCACTCAGCTGACAGAAGGTACTTCAATGGTCTTCCAACAATATATCATCAGCAGGGCAGAAAGTAACAGATAGCACTGCCTAAACCTCCCAGTCTAGCAGCACATTTTCAACTGCACTAAGCTTCATAACCACCTGGAAGCACAAACTTTATAACAGAGACAGGAAAATGACAGCAAAAATCTTTCAGCTTTTTTTGACAATAAAATTAGGAATAGGTCTTGTATGTGTTCTGTCATAGACCTGTAGTGGCATCAGAAGTGAGGAATTTAAACAGAGTGGGAGATGCCCAAGAACCACTTATCCCAGTCTGCCCAACATCCAAATGACTTTTCAGGCAGAAAGAAACTCAGGTAATAATATTAGTGATTCAAATTCTCAGCAGTTCAGCCCAGGGCTGTGGAGGAAGAGATTTCTGCTACTGATGTTTCTCATCAATATGAACTACTGCAAATGCCACCATGTAGAAAACCAGCTGATCTGGCTTTTCTCTATTTTCTGTGTTCCTGAAGGCATCTAGAAGGTTGGAAGACAATTAGTGCACCTTCTGCAGCAAGATACAGAATGAGGCCAGCATCTTCCCCATAAAAAAATGCAAGTGCATCATTAGAAAACATGGTCATAGAATCATAGACTCATTAAGGCTGGGGAAAAACCTCTAAAATCATTAAGTCCAACACTACCATAACCACTAAACCACGTCCTGAAGTACCATGTATATGGTATCAAAACATTAATTTTTAAGGAAAACTGAAAAGGAAAACTGAATTTCTAGAGATAACTTAATTCTAGCATTTTCTCAAAGGGGACTTGAGTTTGTCACCTTAAATATTTTGTGAAGGGTTTCTTGTAGGGTATTTTGTAGACTATTTCTACCTACACAGAACAATAAACAACTTCTGTGATAAACTGAGAAGTTCTTCCCCATGAGAGTGGTGAGACCCTGGGATGGGTTGCCCCGGGAGGGGGTTGAGGCCCCATCCCTGGGGGTCTTTAAGGCCAGGCTGGAGGAGGCTCTGGGCAGCCTGATCTAGTGGGAGGTGTCCCTGCTCATGGCAGAGGGGTTGGAACTGGGGGATCCTTGGGGTCCCTTCCAACCCTGACAGATTCTGATCTGTTTTAGCAGAGGACTTTAGAGCCCTAATGGCTCAATGGTTGGACTTGATGATCTTGGAGGTCCCTTCCAACCTAAAGGATTCCATGATTCTATATTCCAAAGCAGATTCAAGTGTGAATTGAAGAATCACAACAGACAAAAGCTATGTTCTTGGTCCCATGCACATTCCTCCTTGATTCCATAGTACAGAGTAAAAACTCAAACACAAAAATACTCTCTTTACTGTATTAAACTCTCTATATAACAGACATCTTGAACATACTTTGTAATTTTGCATACCTAATTGTATGGTGGTAGAACTTAAGAAGATTGGAAATCTTGTACAGTAAAACTGCTCCTGGCTCAGCAACAATCACCTGCTCAATTCTAACCTGCAGAATAAAGAAAAACAAGCATCCTTCAGGTCATATGCTTCAAAAGCCAACCTCTATGATTTTATATGCACTATATGTCTGATTTTTGAAAAATAAATTTAACCAGAAATAAAATTTGAAAGAGAACATCCAGTTAACTATAACATTCTGCTTGAACCAAAGTTCTTCTTGGTTGCCAAGCCTCTGGGTAGAAAACAAGCAGGTGTACATATACTTGGGAAAAAAATCCTGTTTCTCTGCAGAATTTTGCTGCAACTTGAAAACTTCCAAAATAATGAGATCATTTGATGGATTAATATCAG